AAAGATAGTGAGATGTCTTATGACGGTGACTGACGGGAATGAAGGGGAATGGTGGCGAATGATGGGGAATGACACCCAATGACAGCAAATGATGCCAAATCACATAAATACAAGAAAAATATATAGTCCGAATTGGCAGTTTGGTGTATATAGAACATGAACGTATTACCTGTTATTCGTTTCGAGTTAGGCACTGGACTGACAGCTGAATGCTGAGTCGACTCAGTCCACAGGGAGCCCAATTTAGATTAAAGTGAATGGTGAAAATAAATTCGAATGAAATAAAATCAATCATTACTTTTTAAATTCGAGGTCAAGATAATTTCTTCCGTAATAAGATCGATATCGTAATCGATAAAAAATGCACTAGAACATTTTTTACGCGAGCGCCTTTGTTTTTTTACATGATTCCCCTATGTACTCATATACCATACCATAGGGTATCTTTTACCATATTTAAGAGTATCCTTTTTTCGAATGACCATTTTCAAGACTATCCTTGACCATATTTAAGACTATCCTTTTCTCAAATAACCATATTTAAGAGTATCTTTTTAAATGGTCATATGAAAAAAGGATACCCTTAAATAACCCCGGTCGTTTGAAAAAAGGATACTCTTAAATATGGTCATTTTAAAAAAGGATACTCTTAAATATGGTCATTTCAAAAAAATTTACTCTTAAATATGGTCAAGGATACCCTTAAAAATGGTCATCCTCTAACTTCCTTGGGGGAAAGGAGAGGGAAGAAAGAAAGGCCCTGGCTTATGACGAATAATGAAAGAAGCCGGGGAATATTCAAATATTTAATAAATTTTAGACTCTACTGTGGTTAGAGGAATTCTTTCTTTTAGTTTATTTAGAACAACAAAATCGTTTCTTTACAAGAAACCTTTCGCATTATGGACGATGATTAAAAACACTCTATTCTAAGAAACTAGGCGTTTTGAACTTCAAAATTTTTTTCGCGTTGAAATTTAATTACCAAGTGCTGGTAATTTAGACAAGTCAGACATCATCTTTCGTTCCCTCCCTCTACCCATCCGTTTATCAGCGGACCGCTTATAAGCGGGTATACTCTTAAAAATACCATTACTCGCAATATATAACTCTTGGTCCACATTTACAGCCTTTGGGGGTTTGTGTCTCCGCGATACTCTCCCTTAAGCGCCACAGGGGTGTACGTGGATATATATGCACGAAGCGTCAAAGGCTAGAAATCAAGACTAAGTCAAATGAGTGCAGTTCTAGCTGAGCAATGTTACATAAATATTTCCGTATCCTTACAAAAAGGTATACAACTATAGTAGCATCCATTGGGGCTTGACCCCTAGAAAATATGTACATACATGCACTATTGGAAAATATAATCTATAATACAAAAACACAGCCATAAAGGATAAATACTGTAAAGTAGTGTTGTACCCAGTCGGTAAAGCATTAGGTATCGTGGTCATTCTTTCGGGACGCAGACTTTCTTGCTAAGTCCTCTCCCACACCCTGACTGCATACTTGAATTAGTGTCGTTAGACACCAAAGGTTTGCTATATTTGAAGATACTAGTGGTAGTACAGACGGCCATTCTTCTTTCAGTGAGATACATTGTTTTCTCCACGTAATACCCTTGTACTAGCATCACACGTGTTTTGGTCTGTCTTGTGCTCATAGTTCATTCAAGGTATTTAGTTTCTGTTCAATAAGCCAACTTTCACAAAGTTTGGCAAAGCCATCGGAAGATTTTGAGCGCATACCGTAAAACCCCGGTCATAACCCCTGGCCTTATACTTAGTCGTGAGGGTTTTTACTTGGGGTGAGAAATGGTTATTTATCCGGGTGTGGGATGGGAATTTACGGTATGGTATTTGAGGTTAGCATCGGGTTATTTCAAGTTGACAGCTTTTGAAACAGTCCTAATGACCTGCTGTACGCCGTACACATTGTTCAGCAATACAAGACATACCAATCTCGTGTGATAATATGGAATGAGGATTTGAAGTCTGCAAGGATTGTGCAATGTCGAATTTCGCGGGTTATGTTGCAGAGTTCACGAAAGACAACGTTTGAAAATTTCTTTCCTTCAGCTGCTTTGGAACTAAAACCTATTCATCCATGTAAAACTACTCGAAACCTTTACTTTTCCTTTTACTTGGTTTAAACCATGCACACTCTTCCTCGGTCAAGTCATTTTTAATACTCCCTTGGTCGTTAAGGAGTGTTTCCATAGCAACTGGTCTTGGTTCATAATTGACACTGTAGCGGTCATTCGGCGTGGCGTTGTTATGGTGCGTCTCGGCTCCATTGCTAAGCAACGGGTTGCCTGGTGTTTCAGCTTGCCTGGAATCTATCGTCCCTTGGCCATCTTCAAAGTCCTCTATGTCATCTTCTAAATCTTTACTTCTCTTTTTCTTGATCTTGCAGTAAATGAGAATGGCTATCAGTACTATGACAATGGCTCCGATAGCAATACCTACAGCGATAAACCGATTGAAAGCTGGGGAAAATTTAATAAAGTAAATTAGTTCGTTTGATGGGAAGCAAAAGTAATGCTTGTGTACTGTTCGTATGGTTTCTTTCCGTTCAGCCTGGGTTTGATTCCATTTTCGAGACTAATATTTGCATAGTTTGTAGATCATGGATATTTTTTTCCTCCACATTTCTCCCGTCCACAAATATAAACGGGAACAGCATGACAAGCCACCTTTATCTCGCACTCATGAAAAGATACGTCAAATTCGTAGCTGTTGTACGGTAGTCTTAACTACGCATTACGGATGCACAAAGTACTGGAAGACAATGGGAAGCCATTTCAATTTTAAGGCATGTCGTAGCTTGTACGTGCTGAAAGTCAATACCGTTATTACTAATATTCAATAAACGTTTAAACTTACGCTTGCTAACGGCTGAATATTTGGCCTTAAACCCATGGCTGGTACCACTAGCATCTGAAACAAACTGCAACCTTATACTCGAGCCTGTTGAGTAGATCTCCCCAGGGTTTTTATTCCCACAGTATTTATCGCCAAGCATTGGGCTTGAAGTACCAGGACCATCTCGTACCTCCAGGTAGTCACCATGGCAACCACGTTGGTCGTCAATCCAGAAGTCATCAAACTCAAGACGTATTCTTTTATCATCTGGAACAGATATTTTCCAGGTACAGCTGATGCTGTTAGGGTACTGGGAGGGATAGAGGGGGCTCAGGATAACCCCTGATGATCCAGACAGCTTTAAGTTGTTATTAACAGTAGAGGTGTAATCTGGGGAGCAAATGCCTGGTTGCACCCATGGGGTCGTGATGGTTTTAGGTGCTTTAAGAAATACAAAGGAAACAATAAACATCATGATGAAAAAAACAACAGATGTACAATAGTAATGAAGCACAATAGATCACATAAAAAACATTACTAAATAGTCAAGACCGTTTGGCGTAATGTTTTCCCATTTCAAAGCACATATTATTCGATTAATAATATTCTCTTGAAAATAAGATCTGTCTTAGTTGTATCCATATTCATGTATCTTCTTGATCCGCAACTGTTAAATAAAGAAATGGTACTCTAGAGAATGACGTGCTATGAAATCAAGGCGAATTCTACTGAATTTCTTTCCTTTAAATTTATCTTGAAAAAAAAACAACAATTATGGCAATTCTATAAAAATGCAAACTGTGTCTGTGTCTCCGAGTTGCACACTGAAATTTGGTTTCCTGCTGCTGTCAGTCAAAAATATGAAAGGTACTGACTGAATAGGTTTTAATGACGGCAGCGAAAAACCAAATTTCAGCGTGCAGCTCACAGATACAGAGTTCGCACGTTTATGAAAATTGCAGTCAGTAGAACTTGAAATTATATAGCACAAACCTTCAGTTGTAGATTCAAAGACAGCAAGAAAACCTTTCCCACTTGAAGCAAAGTTGCTCCTAAAACTCACATACATGTGCCTGCCTTTTGATATTAATACAGGTGGAAGAGACGACCCACAAAACGCATTCTTTAGAGGGCTTGTTGGTGAGTCTCCATCTCTTACTTCCACAAAGTCTGATTTACAATTTCCACTGGATTCAAGTTGAAATGTGAGAAATTTAAGTCTGATGTTAAACCCAGATGGGACAGAAAGATGCCATGCACATTCCTTGTTGTTTGGGTATTCTTCTGGATAGCCTGGACTAAAAATACTTCCAGCAACTCCCTCTAATCTGACAACACTCCTCAGCCTATCCATCTGGTCACAGGAACCATTCACCTCTAAAAATTTTCAATGGATTATATATCAGAAAAATATTAGGCCAGAGTCAATTAATCTAATCAAAATTAATACTACAGTAATACAACATACTGTATAATTACACTAAACAATTCTTAGCCATGTGGGGGTTTTTAACAAAAGATTTCTCATTGACACCTTTTATTAGTATCACCACCAACACGACGGCCTCTCTTGTGAATAATAGCAACCTGTTTAATATAGATATCTTACTTTGTTGAATGGATCTGAAGTCCATCTCAAATTCAATAGCACTCTCAGGATTCTTTCCTCTCCAGCGAAGGGACATGTACCTTCCAGCAGAATATATAACAGGCAATACTGAACTCTCACAAAAGACACCTAGTTGAGCACCATGGCCACGCCCATAACGACCATTATAAACCTCTAAAGCAGCGTCACTGCATGGTACTTGCTTCTTGGGTTTGAATGCATGAAATGACATGTTCACTCCATTTTTTGGAGGGAGTGTAATCTTCCATGTGCAGTCTATTGCCTTGGAAAAGGAATCAGTAAATTGTGGTGTTACGATGCGTCCTGTAGATGCATCAAGTAGAATGTTGGTATTCTCATCAAGGGAGTTGTGCTCTGAGCATGCTGTCCCTGGAAAACAAAACAAAGTAGATCCTTCAAGGCAATGACACATTATGTAATATTTTATGTGAAATTGCTTGAAAAATGGAAGATTTTTTATTTCAATCCACAAGACATGCTACATGTGTAACAACACAGAAACAACGAAAGTAAGATGAAGAATGATGCCACTGAAGGGTGAATATATACTACGACTTATTGACTTATTGTGATCAATCAATAGTTACTTATTTACAGACACCTTTCCATACAGTGCGTATTGATCACAATAGCCAATTAGATTTATTTGACTATGTTTATGGTATGTTAATTCCTACAACATTTTACCTGGTTGTATTGCAGCATATTTAGCCACAAATCCTTTAGCTGATGCTCTAAAAGTATTTTTGAATTCTACCCTCAAGCTCCCTCCACTGGAATATATAGTTTGTGGAGGTTGATTTCCACAAAAACTTCCAACAACTTGAGAATTTCCCTGCTTGTCTTGCTCTGTGACCTTGACGTATGCATAAGGACAATCTCTTGAATTTGAAGCAGAAGGTGAATATATAGAAAACGAACTAAAGACGAGTTTCACTAGCTTTCCAATAGGTGCCGTGAGTACCCATATACAGTAACTGTAAGTTGGGTAGTCTGCTGGGAAGTTTGGGCTGCTAAAGTTCTGTAGTGTTGTTGTCGATGAATTAAGAAGGAAAAAGTTTTGACTTCTGTTGCATATAGGTAGGTCAGAGTCTGATTCTGGAGAACAAAAAAAGTGTCAAGCTAAGAAACATTGATGAAGGCAGGACTTCCATCCCCTTTATAATGTACATGTACAGTACTTTATCTGCCATTATAAAATAACTGATTATAAAATATATCTAGCATTCTGATTGGTTGTGAGTGTGTGCTTTATGAAAGCACATAGCACTAATCCTATCTAAAATAATAAAGCACTTGGGGATTGGAAGAACACTTGAGAAGTGTCGTAAAGCACTCAGCTACACGTCACGCTTTTCCTAACACTTCTCTCATGTTCTGCCAATATTAACTGCCAATATTAATCCCCATGTGCCTTACAGTGTAACTGTGTGCAACATGCGCATGCATCTTCTATTTCTTCACTTACTGGCAAGACACTACCTAGTATATGTGCTTTAGCCTCTAACACCTAGGGCCTAAGGTAGTTTCTGAACTCTGCATCACGATCCCCAGCTGAGCGGTGAATGCTGTGCACAAAGCGTGTTTGTGAGTAAAGTTAATTTTTCAAAGTCTTTTCCTTGATTTGAGGGGTTGCCCCCCAGGTACTCAATTATTCCTCTATGCACATCTACAATACTAAACCAAACACGGTAAATGATTGTTTCCAATTCTTTCTATAAGTTACAATATTTGTTTTGTGACTTATCGGCTCAAGAATGTTTCAGGGTTTCATAAAATGGATGTTTTGAAGATTGGTTAGATTAAATTAATTATATTTTGGATTTAAGATATAGCTTGCAGCCAAAATGTATAAGTATACATATATATATCATCAGTAAGTATAACAATACCTTGAGCAACAACCTCATACTGTAACAGACTTTGAGTAACTACAAAAAGAACAGCTGAGGAAAAAAAAGGGAAAACCTATTAATCAAGGAATAGGTGTGATCATTGTAGAATAGAACTGTTAATATAAAAAGGGTCAATTAATTGTTAGTTTCACCAACATTATAATGCACTTCTAATTATAAGATACTTCTACATTCTTGATGTGTGCTAGACATTATGATATGGACATTCTTCAGGCCTCATTTAATATGTCAACTGCTGTAGCCCTTTTCTGGGTTTGATGAACAGAATGCCAACTATATCTCATAAAACTCTCCTTCCAAGTTGCATCGTCTTTTATCTCTATATCATGACTATAAATGTCACAAAACATTGTACTGTTTATATAATTATTATGTATGCCTAATCTACTAATCAACATGGAAATCTTAATTATCTACCAAACCATCAATCATACATAACCTTTTATAAATAAATAATATAAATGTTAATGAAAAAAAAAAAAAAAATTTTTTTTACACATTAATTTTTGATTATTTAAAAGATATGTCAGTGTTAATAATAATAGACAAAACATTTATCCTATTATTAAACAGTGACTCTTTTAAAATAGGGAAAATTTAAATATATAAGTGAGATTTACCTCATTGGTCCAGTGTTTATAATAAACATATAAATTTTTTTATCTAGATGGACGCTCCTATCCTACGCTAGTTCTATTTAATAAAGCTTCATTCATTTAACTATTGACTAAAAGGTTATTGACGTAATTCCTCAACGAGTCATAGTCCGTAAAATTATCTTCTAGTTCTAACGTAAAGAAAAATTCAGGAATAAAATAGCCAAAACAATTATATTTAATAGCTTATTGATTGGGGGCATTCGAGTTTGGGGCAACACAGACTGACTTTAACCGCCATTAATACATACCAAATATAAAAACATAGACCTACCGATTGCGATAAAATGGCGAGAAACCCAACAGATCCCTTCAGAACACTTCATCCTTTTTGTAATTCGTCAGTCAAAGAAAGCTAAAGGTATTTATTCCACTCCTATTTAAACTACTTCTGTCATCGTGTTGAAGATGAGTTTGGAATGTTTTTAGAGCCGACGGTTTTCTACTGGTTTGCGGTGCACGTGATGGGATTCTGCGCACTTCCTGTCGGGTTTCCGGTATTTGAGAGAATTTTTGAATTTTTTTTTCTCTTATGAAGAAGAAAAGGGATTAGTATTCGCAAAACAAAGAGTTATTACCTTTGACCATCAGCAACAGAAAAGTTTTTGGAATTTTCAGGAAATAAATTTTTTAATATATCAATCATAAATGATTGACATATATTTACTCATGAATATTAATAACAGTTAAAATAACCAAGAAGACTACGTCTGACTTCTGAAGATTTTTATTTACTGGTATGGCTAACAGAAGCTTTAAGTAAGTTGGGTCGATGAGTTCAAAGAGGTTTTCGATTCTATTTGGTGAGTATTGTTTCTAACAGATGTTGCAATTAAAAATATATTCTTCTCGTCCAAGCCGTGTTAAATACCTTATTTTTACAGCGACAATCCTGCGCTTCGTGTTTAAATGCGGAATCAACTGTCAGGGTCGAAGTCTCGAAGTTTCGTACCGTATACGAAGCATGTCGATTGATTTTAGTATTAAAAAGCGAATAAACGACAGAAAAATAAGAGATAGAATAATGTATTGAAAAGTTAGGGTATCACAGAGAAAATATTTTGAACAAGCGTCAAGACTTATACGTGCTTGCAAATGTGTTATTGGAAAAAAAACCAAGTTCTTGCTTATATTTACAGCAGCTGCATGTTTGCTCCTTATGAAAGCTTTTAATGAATTATTTAGGATAATTTCTACATATTAAGCTATTTTATAAGTTTATTTCGGAGGCCAGTGTCTTAAATAATGTTTCATTCGATATTTATTATGAAGAATAATCGATGGATTTGTTATTACGTCATGTTCCCAAAGGATGTGATGATGACGTATACATACATGCATGTAGCCTCCAATATTGCTATTCTTGTTTTCATGTTAAATTCCTTGTAACTCTACCAGGGACGGCGGAACCGGGGGGCTCACTTTTTGTGAAATTTTAATACATTTTCACTAAACTCTGCCCCCCCACCTTGCCATACAATGTCACTATTGAGCTCCCCCCCCCCCCCAATCAAAAAACTGCTCTGCCGTCCCTGTCTACAAATATAACTTTGAAGCTATGCACTTTCATTGAGTTATGCAAATTCTTCACTTGTTTAAAGTACTATGAGAAAAACAATTCATGAAAACAAATTATCCTTTTATCTTTTTCAGTCCTTTTCTTGGCACTCGTTTGTGTAACAACAGCACAATGTAAGTAATCATGATGTCTCAAACATTGGTAAACAATGCTATATGGGAATAAATATGGGTATATTGATATTGGCTAGTTCTAAAAAGACTCTGTACTTTTGAAATCCATGCCTCTGAATGTAGAAAGGGGATTGGGAACTGAAACCTGATTTACACAAGTAATGCAGATGCAAGAAGAAGCACTAAGAGTACCAAGGGTGAGGTAGTCTGGGGAGTGTATACTGTATATATTTATTAGGCCAGACAGCTGATATTAAAATGCAAAAATTTTACTAAAATGCACATATTTTCAAAAGGCCACACACAGGAGGGGGAAGGCATGAGCACTTGATCCAGTTGTATTGACTATACACCATTATAAGGCCTCAATAGATCTCTTTAACTTGAGCGTAATAACTCAAACAAAGTCTATTCCTCAAGATAATGACAGGTGATTCTGAAATGGGAAAACATTATATGAATATAAATCCATTGATTCGATAGAGTGGTAGCTAGATTTACATATCCAAAAATTTAAAATTACAGACTGCTGTTTCACCCTATATCCGAGACTTGAATCATTTCATGGTCCATATTGTTAGCAATTTATATTCATGATAAAACACATCCCAACTTTTTCTTGATGCATATATTATGATTATTAGATGTTTGATGAATTACCCCTAGGTGTTCCTTGATGCATGTCACAATTGGCAGAATTCATAATTTGCACAATTTCATCATTTGTTTTATTGCACTTTTGCCTCATATTCATGATAAAACGAATCCCAACTCTTTCTCGATGCATATTATCATAATTATTAGAAGATGTTTGCATAATTTTAATTTATATTATTTTTGTGATAAACTAACCCTAGGTCTTTCTTGATACATGTCATAATTGACAGAAGTCTGCATAATTTCATTTGTTTAATCAGCATGTGGCTCGAGATACCGTAATGCACAGATATTTTCTACTTTTTACCTCATGAGTCCAAATTATCCTTTCTACTACCCTTCCTCAACTACATGCGAGTGGACTATTACAGCACCATCAGGCTATGTGGTGGAGCTACGTTTTGTCACATTTGATACAGAAGGTTCCTATATGTCAGGATCATGCTCAAGCTTCAGTGATGTTCTTGAAATCTATGATGGGAGATTCCGTGTAAGTAGTAAACTACTTGGCAAGTATTGCAAGAATTACCTGCCTGCAAATGTGTACTCCTCTGGCACATCTTTGTACCTGAGATTCAAGAGTGACAGTTTTACGCAGAGAAAAGGCTTTAAAATAAATTACAGTGCAGTGAAACCAAGTATGTGCCCATAGTTACTGTATTTATTTAATTAACATTGAATATCTTTCTAACCGATGTTAAGCTTCAGCTTTGAATAGTCTTAAACCCTAGCACTGATGGAGAGGGAGGGGATAAAGTAATTTACCTTTTAAATTATTTGTTTACTATATAAATTATTTGTTTATTATATAGATGAACACTATAAATGAATTTATTATATATGATCTAATTTATATTTTTAATATTTTAGAGACTATTTTTTATATTTAGTTTTTTTAACATTTAGTTTCTTTATGTTATTTTTAGCAGGACCCCCATTGTTACCAGTTGAAGGGTCTTTATCCTGCATAAATATTCGTCTTATTATTATTATTATTATTGTTGGATTTTGTCATTTCTTATGTTCAGTGTGCTACAGATAGCACACTACATCACTACAGCACCTATACTGGTATAAGTTATATTCACAGGCTGCAGAGCACCCTTAAAAGTGAGAGGCCATAGATTGAGACTAGTATGGGAAAAGTGGGAGGGGGGGCTAAGATTGGAAAAAAATAAGAGACAAGTATGGGAAAAGGGAAAAAGTGGGGGAGCTGTAGCCCCCCTGCCCCACGCCTCTGATATTCGTAATTTCAGGGTTTCTCTCCGAGGAGATAGTATAACATAAGTATATGCTTTATTACTTTCCAGAACCAGATAGCACCATCTGTAGTCCTTTCAATACCTTTTATCAAAACAACAACATTCAGGTTTCTGGGTCATCAGGTTACATCAAAAGTCCCTTGTATGGAACCAAGTACCCAAGCAACATGAAGTGCACCTGGGTGATAACAGTTCCAGAAGGAAACAAAATCAAGCTGACATTCTTAGATTTTACTGTTGGGGAAGACTCTTTTTGCAGTAGTTATTATCCCTCAGATGATGATCAACTTGAATTAAGAGATGGAAAATATTCTTCTAGCACTTCTCTGAAAACACTCTGTGGAAAAAGTTTGCCATCTCCAGTCTACTCCAGTGGGAGATACTTGTGGATACAGTTCAAGTCTAACAGTGACAACCACAATACTAGGAGTACTACTGGATTTAAAGCCAAGTATGAAACTCAATCAACTAGTGACACTAGTGAGTAAAACATTCAATTTAATAAGTGAAAAAATAAATATATATATAAAAAGAATTATAATAACTTCAAAATTGTGGTTATTATTCGAAAGTAATCTGTTGTTTTGGAAGGTTTGATCATATTCACGTGCAAATTTGTGCCATATTAGTAATTAGTATTAGTAATTATCATCATTTTTAAAAATCAATATTAATTCTCTATTTGTTTTCAAATTCAGATGTTAGTTTAGTGGTTGGCATTGTTCTTGCTGTTTGTATACTGGTTTTTCTGGTGTGTATTTGTGTTTGCATCACACACAGAAAAAGAACTCCAGGTCATGTCACTGTTCAAGCCACAGCAGCGACACAAGCAACGGCAGTGCAAAGTACCCAAAACCAGGCAATTAGTACATATCAATATCCACAACAGACACAAGGTGGATTTGTACCCCCTCCGCCTGTTGGACACTCTTCAGCACCCCAAAGTAGCTATCCTCCCCCATCAACTGGGTATCCTCCAGCTCCTCAAGGCAGCTACCAATATCCTCCACCTGGTAGCTATCCTATGTCAACTGCTGGTGGTGGTACCTCAGCTCCTGGATACCCACCCCAGTCTACAGTCCCAATGATGCCGTATCCTCAACAGTCATTCCCAAATGATCCTCCACCAGCATATCCAGGTCCACCAACTTACCCTCCACAAGTTGCTACAGGACAGCCTCCTCAAAGCAATCCCAATCCATCTTATCCACCACCTCAGGGTATGGAAATGCAACAGTCTTCTCCACCATATCCCCCGGCACAGGACACCAAACAGGCAACTGCACCTCCTCCATTTTAAGTACTAGTCAAGTCATAAGTTTCAATCACATCGTCCATAGTTTGTTTTTGTGCACGAACATACTGCTCCAGCTCTACACTGTCTGCTTGAACTTGTTTTTTTTGAAAAACAAAAGAAAGCATGAGCAAACAGGGTAGAGTGCGTGCAATATGTGAGTGCACAAAATACAAATGATCGAATAAAGGATTCTAAAAATAGCACCAAAGAGTGCTCAAAATAGGAAAACATCGTAGCCTGCCATAGTAGATAAAGGAGCATGGCAATAAAATCTGTATGTGGATTATTCAAAACATAAGTAATTTTGACTTTCAAACATGCCTGATAAATTGGACTTCGTAAAATGCCAAAACGTAGTGTCCATGCTTGAAACTTAAGACTAATTCTTTCATATTGTGTCTGTTAATACAGTTTCTTGGTGTGACAAAAGTATACTCATGAACTTTTTTGTATACTAGGAGAAAACAACAAACATTTAGTTTTTCACTCAAACTCTTCAAAATTCTTAGAAAACGTGCTAAAATGCACACATGCGCAAACGTTTTTCTCTAGTGTCGGCTAAGCTCACTATTTCAAGCAACGCTCATCCAATAAATTGTTTACATTGCATGCATTCGTTATTACCAATTGGCTCTCCTTTGGCTCTGTTGCATGCCTGGGTATAGTTGTAGGTTGAAGCCCTGGCTGGATAATACTACAGCTTAGAATAACTGAGGACAAAGTAAAATCTGCAATATTCCAATATAAAGGCCTCTTGGACAAGGACACTTAATGCACACTCTGTCTCCCAGCTGCATGAGGGGGACAAAAAAGAACGTGTTGAATCATGTGGTTCAACAGCTTACATGCCATATATAACATAATGAGGTACTCTTATGCAATTCCATTGCACAGTTGTAGAGAGATCCAATAAGACAAAATGGGGGGAGTAGGTATGGGAAAATGACTGACCCTGTTGAGCCAAAGATAGCAGAGGATCAACTCAACAAACAACCCAGTTTGACTTGTTGAGTCATTGGACATAAGCAGTGACAGTTCCAGAACAATTTCAAGGGGAGGAAGCTGTTATCTAGAAAGGCATCTTACAGTGTCCTTTTTAGATTTAGCCTTATTTTATATTCAAATTATTTTCAAACTCTAAAGGGAGATTGGCTAGCCACCCAATCCACCCCCGTCCCCCCTAGATCTGTTTTTGCATCAGCTTGGTAAATCAATAATTATGTACTGATTTGTACATTAGTTCATCTAATTATACAGCTTCTCATTAATCCCATATAGGTAACTTTCCAATTATTTTCTTAATTGGACAGGTCTTGTTAATATGGGATTAATTATGCAGCTATATAATTAATAGGTAATGGGATTTTATGCTCCCCAATCAAGAAATAATTAGACTCGAAAAATTCCTCCGACTGCCAAATTGGACTCGGCCTCATCCAATTTCGTCAGTCCTTGGAATTTTCCTCGTCCAATTATTTCTTAATTGGACAGCATGGAGTCCTATTACATAAACTAATTATATTTACATTAACTTATCTTATTATGTATAATTAGTTTGTATCTAATGTAAAATTAAGAATTTGCACAATAAATGGTACTGGATGGTACAGAGGAAAAGAATTCTCATAATTTTTTCTCCTTACGACCTTTGCCTGTCTGCTGTACCCCACCATATCCAAAAAGGAACCATATAATATTAGGTCCCAAATCTTGGTAGGTATCATTGCGTTATTTTTTACTCATGGCTTAAATTAGCGTCCAAAAACTTTGTGGTAGTTTCCCGTCATTCTTTGCATATAACTTGGACCCTTGCCAGCTGTTGCAAACTGCAATATTCTACTCGCTCGCCTGCCGAGATTCCACACAGGAAGCCCATATATGTTGAATATTCAACTTACGCCAAGAAATTAATGGCGTACGCCTGGAAAACGAAGGGGATAATCGATGTTTTAAATATATCTGTGTTTCCAGAAACGCTATAAGAGTTCTCTGTCGGGGTTAACGAGGAAAAAACTATGGTTTCGCTTGGTAAAGATTTATTAGTGGGTAAGTGGATTCGACGTGAACACCTTCCCGTACAGTTTGTGCTTTTATGGGTTGTTTAGAATGCGTTTCGATCTGAGTTGGCAATCAAACCTCCATGTAATATTACAGTATATTTGATCTCCTCTCCCTCATCATTTTGTCTTATTCTCCCACAAATTTCAGCCGCTTTATGGCCCAATCGGGGAACAGAAATGGAATATCATTTGTCCAGATATATATGATTTATATGTCATAAAAGCTCACAATGCATGACTAGTGGCACCTACATTGCTTCGTGATTCCTAGTGGTTCAGTATGAAAAGAAATTTATTCATGCACTTCCCTGCATAGTCTTTTCTATTGTGTTACACCCATTTTGACTTCCATCACTCCAAAATGCGGTTCGTTCACACTGTACTGACTGGAGTAAGTCCGTTTTTCGAGTGGAATCCGAGTCCGAGTCACATGTCCGAGTCAAATGTCCAATTACTTTTTATAATATATAAAACGAGGTTTTTACTGCACGAAGGTCATGAATTAATCTATGCTATATTTTCACTGTTAAAAAGGAACCTACCAATCTTTTTTGAAGAAAGCACTGTAATGGCTTTCTTGGCTTGTCGGGTTGACGCCCGGGAGGGGGGGGGGGGGGGGGGGGCTACCCCACTAGGATTTGAGTAGGGGTGTTCCACTGGGATTCTGAAAGGGGTACCCTGTTTATGACAAAAATATGATTAATTGCATTGAGTTCCTGTTTTAATTATCATGTCATCTCGCGTATCGTTTTTTTACGACCATAATAACCAGTTTCGGCCAATATGAAAGTAAAAACCCTGAATATGACAGGAAACTCAGGGGAAAAAATGGAACTTGAGTGAAATTGCATACCCTGTTTAAGACAAGAAGCTCGAAAAACCATAACCTGTTCAGCAGATCATCCCTGCACAGTCCATAAGGGAGTACCCCCTCGGGGTGGGGTTGACGTCTGAAAAAAATAGCCATAACAAAAACCCTTTTTGAGACAATCCCGGATATTTCATTCATGGGAAAGTTCTGCTAGCAAAATAGTGTGACCAGACATGATTGGAAATTAATTGATGGAAGCCGAACGTTCCATTGTTGTGAGTTATAGATTTTCCTCTCCATTTCCTCCATAATCTCTTTTACCCATTTTCATTGTTGTTTGATCCATACAACTAACTCAATCCCACCCCACCCCCCTTCTTTTTCCTCCTATATTTTTGTAGTTCAGGTGTTGGTAGTTCTTGTAGAAATATCCAGGATATCAGCTCAGTGTAAGTATATTACTATATTCTTAGTTAATTTATCCCAAGCTCAATCTGTTAATCATGTATCAGGGCTCAAAATAGCGCCCTGTCAATGGCCTCTATATGCCAGGACAAGTTTTATCAGGCAAAAATATTTATAACCTGCCAAATGGATAACGAAATTGTAGGCAAAATTTACTGGAAATCGTCTTTCACTGTTTCTTTATCTGGTGATTGTTGCTATTCACAAATGAATCTTCTCCATTTAAAAATATTACTAGTTATAAGAGCATCCCTTGGCTTTAGCTCTCCATTGTAAAACCCTCCATTTTTTGATATGTGTTCATATCACTTTTATAATTTTGATACTCTAACAGAACAACTGCTCAGAATCAGATTCAGGAGTCTTAAAATTGTGTAATTATAATTTTGTCGAAAGTCTTGTCTATTTCTATGTGGCATGCCAAAACAATAAATGGCAGGTCAAATTGTTTCACCAGTCAAAAACAAAAACCAGTGGCAGGCCAATTTTTTTTCCTATTCCAAGCCCTGATATGTATGGGGATAATTTGAAATTAATATTTTATTTAAAGCCCAAACCAAAAAAATAAGTGTGTTTCCTGTTGCATAAGAAAAATAATTGGTGTCCGTAGGTCAGATTTTTTTTACTGATACAACAGTGGAAATGAGGTTACTGGAAACCCTGTGGCGCATTTGGGAGAAAGAACAAATATTAGGGTCGGCAAAAATTGGTAAGAAAATTAGGGTTGGTCGCACAACAGGAAACACACTTATTTTTTTGTTTGGCCTAATTAATAATTGCCAATATTAAATACAGCCTACAGTATCTTAAATCTGCATACATTCTCTTAGAAACATGTAGAGCTTTGGATACCAGTAAAATGTCTTACTGGATTAGGAATTTCTTTCAGCATTTAAGATAATTCAAAGGAAAGAATCTAATAAGAATATACATTCGATAATCCCCAAGTCCAAGCCGATGCCAATATCCCAAATCACATAAGGATTTTTCTATTTTCCTGGATCCCACACTATATTTTATCTGTTTCCTTGCTCCCGCGAATACCATTCAATACCCTGGATATATAGCATTTTTTTGAATAAAAGCTTAACCTAAGCAAATAACATATAATTCTGTATTAATCTTCTCTATTTTTTCTCTCATTTTTTTCTTTTAGCTTGTGACGGTTCTACTATTGAACTTGACGCTTTTATAACACCATCACATCTCACAAGTCCAAACTACCCTTCCAACTACCCATTCTCACGAAAATGCCAATGGAAAATAACTGCACCAGCTGACTTTGTAGTTGTTCTGAAGTTTCTAGACTTTGACGTAGAAGGAATGACAAGTTATAGAAATGAAGGGTGTACAGATTATTTAAATGATCAATTAGAGATTTATGATGGACAACATGCAGAAGATGAGAAACTTCTTGGCAGGTACTGCTCAACATACCAACCACCCAAAGTATTCTCCTCTGGTACATCATTGTTGCTAGTATTCAGAAGTGATGGTCATAATGAGAGAAGAGGCTTTGGCCTGCAATACTCAGCAACAGTTCCAAGTAAGTAATAATATTTGGGATTAATTTTACAGCGATAGCTTTTATTGGCTCTTTGAAAATTCACTATACCATTATTCAGTAGGAAGTCAGAAAATTGTATGCTCGATAAATATTGCAAATCTAAGGTATATATATCAAATATAAAACTCAGTATAATTCTACTTGATTTGTTAATTTCCAGAACCAGATAGCACCATCTGTAGTCCTTTCAATACCTTTTATCAAAACAACAACATTCAGGTTTCTGGGTCATCAGGTTACATCAAAAGTCCCTTGTATGGAACCATATACCCAAGCAACATGCAGTGCACCTGGGTGATAACAGTTCCAAATGGAAACAAAATCAAGCTGACATTCTCAGATTTCAGGGTAGGAGAGACTTTTTACGGTTGCTCACCATCTCATGACTTTGTGGAAATAAGGGATGGAGAATTTGACGTGAGTGCTATACTTGGCCAATACTGTTCCAGCTCTAGACCTTCACCTGTTTACTCATCTGGAAGGCACATGTGGATACGTTTCAACTCTAATAGTGACAATTATCTTGATAAACAATATGCACAGAAAAAAAATGGATTCAGGGCCAGTTATGAAGTAATAAAGTTAGGTGAGTTGTCTTCAGTATATTATATAATTTTATACAATAATTGTATAGCGATAGCTACAGTAAACCAAATTGACTTGTTGATTCATGCATACAAGTTTATATTAATTGCAAAGAAATGAATACTGAGCAAGAAGTTTAATTTTCATAATAATTGATATTTTTTCCCAACTGTTTCAGGAATGAGTGGAGTAATAATTGGTATTATCATAACGGTAGTCGTAGGGACCCTTCTCTTTGTGGCTTGTTGTCTTTCTCTAAGAAGAAGAAGGGCTACAAGTCGTGATCAAATGGCACAGCCAGTAACACAAACAACACTCACCTACATGAATCAAACCCCTACAAGTGCCCCATCTTATCCAACTGTTCACTACTCTCCAGCACCCCAAAGTAGCTATCCACCCCCATCAAGTGGGTATCCTCCAGCTCAAGAGAGCTATGAACAACCTCCATCTGGAAGCCATCCTATATCATCAACTACTGGTGGTCCAGGACATACTCTCGAACCTTCAACATCAATAGAAGAACATTCTTCGGGTACATTTCTGAATGATCCTCCTCCTACCTACCGAGAGGTAGTTCCAGATGTCCCCCCTCCTCCTTATCCAGGAATATCTCAGAATCCTTCACAGGTAACCACTACACAACACCAGGCTACTTCTTAACTAATCTGATTGGGTTCTGCTTCCTAGACTAATGGAACCATGAAGCCTCTAAAATATATAGAATAGATGCCATTGTGCTCAGTTGCTGCATCATCATGAGACCGGCTTCCCAGCTTAGCCAACAATATACACCAAGGTATAGAACATCAACAGTTATATCCTTCAGTAGAGGATTCATGGATAGATGCCATTGTGCTCAGTTGCTGCAACATCATGAGACCGGCTTCCCAGCTTAGCCAACAATATACACCAAGGTATAGAACATCAACAGTTATATCCTTCAGTAGAGGATTCCCCTTAATCTTGACAAACATCTGGTGTTTTCTTGGCAGCTTCTCTGCATACTGTCACAGTCTACCACCTGTAATGCCCTAAAAGTTCATGCAATGACAGCTACCTTCACAACACATTGCATTGCAGTGCAATGCAATACTCATTGCATTGCAATACTCCAGTCTTGAGTTCTCTTTTGCTCAGGGTTAGCCTCAATTTTGTGCATAATATTTATGTATTCCAGTAAATGTCCGTGGAATTTCGAATTGTGTGTATTGTTAAAGTTGTGCATTATTTACTTTACCATACTTGGTATTGTGAATATTTAGACTAATTCATGGCTAAGTCCTTAGTAATCAAGGCCACACAGTGGTAATTTGGAACTCAAAAATTGCAATTTCAAAGACGATTATGATGATGATAACAACACCGATTTCAAGGGGGGTAGCTGTTACTTAGAAAGCCACCTTACAGCGTCCTTTTTAGATTTAACCTTATTTTATTAACAATATTTTCAATTTCTAAAGGGAGGTGGCTAGACCACTCCTGTCCCCCCTAGATCTGTTCTTGCATGAAGTACTGATTTGTACATTAGTTTATCTAATGATGTTGAATTAGTTTGAGTCTAATGTAAAATTAAGAATTTGCACATAATAAATTGTACTGGATGGTACAGACGCAAATAGTTCTCTCTTTTAAAATTGTTTTTCCTTAGGGACTGATCGTTTATCACATTTCAGGGGGGGCAGTGGTTTCTTCACAAAAAAATGAAATGAAATTTGTACCCCCCTCTAAAATCATTAAATGGAAAACGTACCCCTCCCCCTTCAACACTACTAAATACGTACCCCCCCCCCCC